TTTTAGTTAATTCAAGTTCCGAAAATAATATTTAAACAAAGAATTTTTTGATTTTTCCATTTATTTTGAATTTTAAAATTATTTTTAAAATATATACTGTGTAATATTCTATTTAGAATATTTCACGTATTTTTTAAAAAAAAAAAGAATTTTTTTTTATTTTTATTTATTTTTTTTAGTTAATTCAAGTTCCGAAAATAATATTTAAAAAAAGAATTTTTAGATTTTTCCATTTATTTTGCATTTTAAAATTATTTTTTAGAATATGTCAGTGTAATATTCTATTTAGAATATTCCACGTATTTTTCAAAAAAAAAAAAAACGGGATTTTTTTAAAATTTTTAAAATTTTTTTTTTAATTTTTTTTAGTTAATTCAAGTTCCGAAAATAATATTTAAAAAAAGATTTTTTGGATTTTTCCATTTATTTTGCATTTTAAAATTATTTTTAGATTTGGTCTCACGGTCTCACAAAATTAGAATGGTCTCAAATGAACCTGAAACTATATATATATATATATATATATATATATATATATATATATATATATATATATCATATTAATTAACATCTACCTTTTTTAATTTATGTCTTAGGTTTGAAGGACGTGACTTCGTGTTCTCAAAATTCGGTTCCACCAGAATGTAACAGTTTTATAGATTGCTTTCATCGTTGTGGAATGTTTGGGTCTCATGTTTGTAAAAATCATCAATGTGTTTGTCTAAGTGATGGTGAACAAATGTTTACACGTCCAAATGTGCAAATCGATAAAATGTATAGAAATAATGTCAAAATGCAATATCAATTGAAAAACAAAATGTAATGATTAATATGAACTCTTCGAATTCTGCAACTTGAATCTTCTTTATCTAGGATATACTAATGTATAAAAAAACAAAGATTATATTTTTATATGGTTTGATGTATATCATAGTTCTATAAGGTTTAAATTGTAAATGTGAACATCTTTAATTAATTTGTTGTAAATATAAAAGTAATGATTACTTATTTTGAAAAATCATGAATATTCATTTTCTTAAAATTTAAAGGACTGTGTGAGCTAACATTTGTCTATATAATGTCAAGAAATTCAGAACCAATAATATTTAGACCCACAATTGAACATCCCCGACAAATTGGTTATTTGATTTAATTCACAGAAATGAGAATGAAGAGAACATTCCTTGTGATGTTTTTGCTTTTTGTAGCAGGTGAGGAATTCTTTATGTATGTACATAAGTCACTATCACTATGATGTCGAGTTTTTTCAATGAATAAAATAAGAGAATTAGGTTAGATTAGAAGGGAAAAAACGTGTTATCGATTTTTTTTATGGAATGAAAGGAAAGGATTAACTAAAGATCAGATTACATAAAATACATAATTACAAATATATATTTGATATTTTTGAAGTAAAATAAAGGCGAAATTTCGTATATGCCCTTACTAAACATCTAAATATTGTATTTGTCAGATCTAAATTCTTAATATCGTGTTTGCCCTTCTTAATGTTTTTCAATATCATATATACCCAAATCGATTTTTTGATACTTTTTAATGATTTATAATTCTTTTTCATAATCGTAAATCATTATAATTAAAAACACATTTTAAATGGACAATATTGCCCTTGTTACTTACTACCTCATATCACAATTGCCCAATGCATCACAAATCACGATAACATATTTCCTATAAACATCACTGATTCTTCCTGTTGTCACACACACACACACATCAACGATCGCACCAGATTAGAAATTCCCTCTGTTGTCTCACACACATATAAGACATCACAAAAATCTCATTTGGCTACTATGATGATCAATTTGTTGGATTAATGCCTAAGTCCATAACTATAATTCGTATGTACTTGACCCGACTCGACATGGTCCATTTGGGTTGCATGGAATCGGAACTGTAACAGCCCGAAATCTCAAAGTATTGTTAAATCACATTTTGGGGTGTTTTAAAGGGGGGACTCGGCGAGTTGGAGCCTGACTCGCCGAGTAGGATCGCAGATCTAGTCGCGGGTTCGCGACTGGACTCGACGAGTCCAGATAGGGACTCGGCGAGTCGACGCTGTTCAGCAGGAACCCTAGCCGTTTGGTTTTGGATCGTATATAACGCCTTTTAGGCCGTCATTGTTCGTCTTTTGGCCGATTGAGAAGAACCTTAAGCGACTGTGGCATCTAGAGCAAGCTTGAAGGCCATTAGTGACCTTGAAGGAATTTGTTAGGCAAGAAGAGGAAGGGTTTTGGCCAAAGGAAGATCAAGGGGATCGAGTTCTGAGGTTTGGGGACACAGAGAGTACGTTTTCAGGTAATACTTCGGATCATTCCTGTTATTTTGATGTGTACACGGATCTAGGGTTTATGAAACCCATTTGGTGATTAGATGGATTATTATGTTGTTACCCAAACGTTTATACCCCAGTAATAGGATGTTTAGAGGTCCAGAAGTCCCATGATTGTGTATTTCAGGACCATAGGTATTTCAGGAAGCAGTTTGATCGACTGCATGGCATGGACTCGCCGAGTCGGACGAGCAGACTCGGCGAGTAGCTTGAAGATTCACTGGGACTCGCCGAGTTGTTTTTCAGACTCGGCGAGTGGAGTCGGGGTGGCCCCGCGATTCTTCCACGAGGAACTCGTCAAGTCAAGAGAGATACTCGACGAGTAGAAAGGGAATATCCAGGATTTTGTGAGGACGACTAGACTAGCCGAGTCGCCAGGGTACTCGCCGAGTCCAGTCGAGATGACCGTGGACCGTTGACCAGAGCTGACCTGTGTGTGTGATTTCTTAGGGTCAGTTAACGTGGAAGATAAAAGTATTAATAAGAGATATATTGTTATAGGGAGCTTGTAGCTCGGCGGACCAGGTGCAAGTGATTTCAGGAGTTGCTAACTTCCAGCATCCACGAGGTGAGTTTTCTCACTATACTGTACCCGGAAGGGTTTGATTGTGTGACCGAAAGGTCGAATATGTTATGTGTTATGTTCATATGCTATAAATGGAAAGTTAGTTGCTACGCGTGATATGCATGTTTATATATGGGCCGGAAGGCAAAGTGTTATGTGACAGAAAGGTCAGGTATGATATACGATATATGTGCTTTATGTGTTAGAGTAAATGTATTATGTGCTGTATATGTTTTTGGGCCGGAAGGCAATATGTTATGGGCCGGAAGGCGAATATGTTATGGGCCGGAAGGCAATATGTTATGGGCCGGAAGGCGAATATGTTATGGGCCGGAAGGCAATATGTTATGGGCCGGAAGGCGAATACGTTATGGGCCGGAAGGCGATTATCTCATGGGCCGGAAGGCATTGTGCAGGGACCAGAAGGTCAGGGCCTGGAAAGGCGTATGTGCGTAAGGTGTATATTGGGGAACTCACTAAGCTTCGTGCTTACAGTGTGTTATGTTATGTTGTTTCAGGTTCTTTCAGTAACGCGGGATGGCACCGGCTCGATTGTACACACCAAAGAAAGAGTTGTATTCTGGAGGATCCTGGTTTTCTACTAAGTGAAAATGGAACTATGTTTTTGTAATTCAAATGTGTATGAGATTTTAAACAAGTGTTTTAATATTAATTTGATTAAACAAAATAAAAATTTTGCCTTGAAATCTACGGTGTTACAGGAACATTTGGATAAACCGTTTATGAGAAGAAGACATTTGTGACATATTAATATATTATAAGTTCTAGTATATTAATATGAGATCATGTTATTTAATTAGTATTGATCAAGAATTAATTTGGAGTTAATTTAGTGATCAAAAGGAGACTAATTAAATATATGGGGATTAATTGTGTAAACCATTCATTCTTATATATGTAGGCTTATGATCCATGATTCCTTATGTTGGGTTTAACCCATGTGGTGACCCATGGATACTCCATGGAGGTTAAAACCCATGGAGCACAAGGAATGGGTAAAGTCATGGGTTACATGGTGTAACCCTAATGTGCACACTATATAAGGACCCCTTTAGTTCAAGAAATTGGCACTAGTGCATAAAATGGAGGGCAAGTCGATTTCCATGTCTCATGTCTTCTTCTCATGGTTATTCCAAGTGTTGATGATGTTGTGTGAACCATTTGAGGTGTCACACTTGGGGCACTAGGCTCTCGATCTTCATGGAGTCAAGCTACATCAACAAGGTATGTATTCTATATATGTTATTACCCAAGTATCATAAAGATTGTATGCTAGTTAGGGTAGTACCTTGGAATATTCATATTTTCATGTATAATAAAGAAAACATAGATCCAAGGTATTTAGGGTTGCATGTACACCATAGGAGTGTTAGAATGCTCAAAAACCCAACACGATCAACAGATGATCATGATGTTTAACCTTCTGAATGTGTTTATTTTTGTTCTGTTTTGCCTTCTTGCTATGATGATTGATTGACAGATGATCATCATGTTTAACCTTTTTGATATCAGTTATTTGGTAATTTATGGTTTTCTTTGTCAATTGAACATTCAGTTTCGGATTACAAATGATGAATAGGTTACATAAATATCTAGAATCTCGAATTGTTGAAGTGCTTGTATCAATTTCACAACTCCTTTTCCACATATGCTCTTCTTTTAGGACGAACTCAAAACCACATGCTTAATTTTGGTTTTGGATTTTCTACATTTTCATTTATACAACAGACAACAAGTAGTGTGGTGGCGATTTCAAGTTGTCACGAGACACTATATGTTGAGATGCACCTTCCCTTTTGAAACCTGTGAAACCATGGTTGATAATATCGCCATTTCCACTTCATCATCAAGTTATAGTGTTTTATTCAATTTGATCGTCTTTCGAGTCTTTTTGTTGTTCTAGATATGGGTTTTTGATAATTTTGTAGGAGGAGAAGACGCGAAAGTCAATAAAGATGGTAATAAGAAATTCATCACTAGAGAACAAGAACAATAACAATAAGCAATTCGATTCTTACCCATTATAGCAAAATTGCATTTACTTATGGTGTCTTAGCAATGTGTAGGCATTGGCAAACAGTAGGGAAAAAGGAAGGGGAGAATCTGATGATGAACAACAACGAAATTGGAGAGATGGAAATAGAAATATGGCTGAATCGATTACCTGATGCGTGCGTGATGCATTTACATGCGGCAATAGAAGCGAATAGGAGGCTGCGGTCGAAAGGAAGTATTAACAGGGAAGCTACAACAACATTACATAGGGATATGGAAGCTACGATCGTAAAACTCATGTGAACGTGTTTGTTGTATTGAAATTTAGAAGCGAGGGCAATGTTGTCTATTCAAAATGTGTTTTAAATATAACGATGTAAGATTATAAAAAAGAATTATAAATCAATAAAAAATATTAAAAAATAGATTTGGGTATATATGATATTAAAAAACATTAATAATGGCAAATATGATATTTTGACTTTAGTGCGGGTAAATACGATATTTAGATGTTTAGCAAGGACTATGCAAAATTCTGCCTAAAATAGACATCAAATACATTTTTCTTTGTCTTGTTATATATATATATATATATATATATATATAGTGAGTTATTGGGTGAACCAAAAAAAACATGAGAACTTACGAGCTCATATTCCTCTCATCGTTTTCAAAAACCAAAAACGTCAATTTTCTCCAAATGGTGCATCTAAGCCATAAGTAAACTGAAAAAAAGATTTGATAATTTTTTTATTCATTTTGGAAATTTGAATGTATTCACAATGAGCAGTCTATATGATTGTTGATTGAGCTCATCAGCAATCTAAATAGCGGTTGATTGATAGTGCGTAAAGCCACATTTTTGAAAATCCCCAAAAAAATGTCAAATTATGTCAAATATTTTTTTAGTCTAAATATGACTTTTACGCACCATTTGCAGAAGATTTTTGTTTTTGGTTTTTAAAATTAATTAACTGATTATGAGTTCGCAAGTTCTCAATAATCTTTTGGTTTTCAAAAGAACCTGACTATCTCTCTCTCTCTCTCTATATATATATATATATATATATATATATATATATATATATATATATATATATATATACTATCTTATAAAAAAAAATCTTATTATTTTTAAAAATAGATTGAATAAATTATTATTATTTTTTAAGACATCCAAACCATTAAACTAAAAATATAACTAACCATTAATAAAATAATATTAAAATTTTAAAAACTTTGAGATCTTATCTATGTTTGACCCAACTTTTGTTAAACTTGATTTTGAAGGACTCCAGATTCTTGGATATCGGCAAATAAATCTCGACGTCCCTCATGTTTCTGCCCCATCTCCTTATATGGGAGTGTGACTGCACAAATTAAAGTGAATCACAACAGCACATCCATTAGTTAAACTCTAGCCGTCTCGCCTCCACCACCCCTCCTCTTTCTCTCCACCCGCCGACGTATTTCACCGTTGCGTCTTACCTCTAATTACTAAAAATATATTCGATTTTAATAGTAGCAGGAGGTGCAGGATCTTAAATGTGGTTTGCTCCCCCACTGGTTTAGATATGAGGTAAAACCACTTCCATTTGCTCATAATTTTTTTAATTGATTGTAGCTTGGAGAAGATCTGCGGGAGATGAAGCAAGGTAAAAGAGTCTCTCTAAATCCTACATATTCGCCGTACACTTCTCCGGCATGAATCACCACAACGAACAGGTGTTCCCTCTTCCTTTATCTGCTGCCAGCATCACACTACTCACCGCCGGCTTGACTTACATCTCCTCTATCAGCTACCATCACCGTCGTCACCATCTACGACCGCCCTAAACGTTTCCACCATCCACAGTCACGCCATGACTTTCACGGCCACCGACTACTTCTCTGTTAAAACCCCAAAAACACTAGCTACCACAACCTTCAAATCCAACCACCATCATCATCTATTTTATTTTTTGGGACTCTTTTTCGAGAAGGTGATTTTTCATTTCATGGCAACAACTAGCCTTTAGCAGTTAACTTAAACTTTCATATTCAAGGATCTTCTTATGTGTGTGTTATGTGCAGACTACATAGTTGGAGTGCAAACTAGATTAAAATGAAATAATATCTGTTCCTAGAGGATTTTACCATCAATTTCATAATTTGGTATGATACATATTTCATTTTATTTGTGGGTTGTGTTATTTAAAAAAATGTACACTAACTTGGATTGTTTATAGTTTGTTGATTTAGGATGTCCCTTTTACTTCAACATTTAGGGTAATGAGTAATTATTGTTTTTGGTTTTCACAGAGACAAGCAGTCAAACATAGTTCTCTACGAACCAATCTCAAACTATTGTGCAATGGATTGATAACAACTATCATTAAGCCTCTCACAACTATAATACAAGGCAAGTTCACCTTATCTCTTATATTTTATTTTTATATCTTCCTTGTTGTGATCTTGTAATATAACGACTGAGTTTTATTTTCTTTTCATATATGTGCTTATGTTTGGGTGTGCACAGACTAAATATTGATGATATGGATATGTGTCATGTTGTTATGGGCATTATAGAAGCATATTGGGAATATCATCCCAAAACCAAGGGATACAACTTCCAATTCTGCATAAGTGAACATGATGTGTTGTTTTTTTCTTGCATTTTGGTTTTTTGTTGGTGCCAAAAGACCAAAAACAAGCGTTCTCTTAATATCATAGTAAATGTAATTTCGTTTTATATTTTATTTTGTTAAATTATGGATAATGATTATGATTTTTTGGTTTCATTTAATTTTCTATTCTTTATTAATTTTGTACAAAACTAACATAATGATTTTGTAAAATTAAATTAACAAAGTTGATACTTATTTTTTACAGTTGATTTGGATATGGCGTTTCATATCTATTTATTTGTTTCAACTATAATTGTTAATTTTTTATAATCTCAAGATTATCATTAATAAAAATAAGTATTATGTATTATAAAAAAATTAAATTTTGAAAAATATTATCATAATTTTTTATTAAATATCATCGATGTGATTATTTTATAAATGACTTGATATAGATTACATTTTATTATAACGTATTAAATGGTTCAAATATATATATATATATATATATATATATATATATATATATATATATATATATATATATATATATATATAATTTGAAAACGGTTTCACCCAACTTCTAATAAAAGAATTAATTTTATATGAACAAACATCTATCTTATCCCATTGCTTTTATTGGAAAGAAGAGATTTCCTAATGAATGTATTCAGGCCAGCTTACACTCACACCTAATCCTCCGTCATGACGTTATGTTGCATGTTCAGGAGTAACCGCAAACAAACCTTCATAACCACACGAGCAAACAACAACAACCAAATTAGAACTTAAGTACCAAATTAGAACTTAAGTAGATAATATATCATCTACATGTCTAGAATGTTTCACCATAGACCATTACTTAAATGGCTAATATTTATCATGAATAGTTAAACTTTAAAAATCATCATATATTTTCTTTTTAATAGTTGAATATATTATCTCAAAAGCAATGCCTAAGTGATTTCCTTTTTTAATTTACATTTTTCTTTCTCACCAATTTGTGTGGATTCCTATTTGTGAATATGGATCCCAAACACCCGTATTGTACTTATTGTAAATATTGATTCTTATTGTGAATATGGAAAACGTATATGACCACGGTGGCAACAACGATGCAACTAACTATACACATGACATGAAAATGAAACCAACACATTGCTGATATGGCCGTCTACTCTGCCGTAGCGACTATCCCTTATATTTGATATGGGTTTACTTTGCCGTAACGACTCTCCCATATATTTAATATGGGTCTCATATAACCTGAAGTTATAAGGATCTGTTGCACCCCCACCCAGAAGCTACCTTAATTGCGCGGGTACACGGCTAGTGTGTGTGTGTGTATATATATATATATATATATATATATATATATATATATTAAAAAAGATTTATTAATACAAAATCTGTAAGTAGGAATTATACAAAAAATAATGACAAACTATTTATCATATAAAATATTTCATCACATTATGATAAACTTGGCAAGATTTTTTATTGACATCGTTTTTCAAAAAGTAATTATAATTTTAGTTAAATTAAATAGTTCATAATATTTGTAAAAACTTAAATAATTTTTTCTTCTATGCCAACTAATGACAAGAGAAATACTTAATTCTTAGAATGTTTATTTGTTGTTTTAAAGGAAGTAATTAATTTTTAGATTACTTATTTATTGTTTTAATGGTTTGAAATACATCATAATTCTATAAGGTTTAGGTTGTAAATGTGAATATCTTTAATTAATTTCTTGGAAGTATAAAATTAATAATTACCTAATTTGAAAATTCGTCAATATTCATTTTCTTAAAAGTTAAAGGGATCATTTGTGTTAGCATCTATCTATATAATGACAAGAAATTGATAACGAACTATATATAGACACGCAACTGCACGTCCTTGACACACTGATTATTTGAGTTAATTCATAAAAAATCGAGAATGAAGAGAACATTCCTTGTGATCTTTTTGCTTTTTGTAGCAGGTGAGCAATTATCTCTATATGTACATAAGTCACTTTCACTATTGTCTTAATTTTTTTAATATATAAAAATAAGAGGATTAGTTGAGATTAGAAGGGAAAAACATGTTCCATTTTTTTTTATGGAATGAAAGGAAAGAATTAGTAACCCCCCCCCCTCTCTCACCTAATTAAAATTTTCCATCTAATTTTCCGTTGATTATGATGGAAAGGATTAGTATTTTTTCCATCCATTCTTTTTTTCACTTTCATTTTTTGTAATTTAAAAATTCAAGAAGTGGATGCTTATGTATGCTCTGAAACAACATTTGTATTGGAATTAGCATTTAAGCAATTTAATATCAAATTCAGGGTATTTTGGGCAATCTCATAAGGGGTTCTCGATATATATATATATATATATATATATATATATATATATATATATATATATATATATATATATATATATATATATATATAGTATGAATTAACATCTACCTTTTTTTTTTAATTTATGTCTTAGGTTTGAAGGACGTGACTTCGTATTCACAAGATTTGGCTCCACGAGAATGTAACAGTTCTATAGATTGCTTTCATCGTTGTGGAATGTTTGGGTCTCATGTTTGTAAAAATCATCAATGTGTTTGTCTAAGTTATGGTGAACAAAAGTTCCCACGCCCAAATGTGCAAATCGATAAAAATGTATAGGAAAAATGTCAAAATGCAATATCAGTTGAAAAACAAAATGTAATGATTAATAAGAACTCTTCGAATTCTAGAACTCGAATCTTTTTTATCTAGGACATATTAATGCATAAAAAACCAATGTTATATATTTTTATGGTTTGACGTATATCATATTTCTATAAGGTTTAGATTGTAAATGTGGATATTTTTAATTAATTTTTTTTGTAATTATAGTATTAATGATTACTTAATTTGAAAAGTCTTTAATATTTGTTTGCTTTAAAGTTAAAGGACTATGTGAGCTAACATTTGTCTAAATAATGTCAAGAAATTGAGAACCAATAGTATTTAGACACACAATTGAACATCCCCGACACATTGGTTATTTGACCTAACTCATAGAAATCGAAAAATAAAAGAACATTCCATAGGATGTTTTTTCCTTTTGTTGCAGGTGAGGAATTCTTTATGTATGTAAATAAGTCACTTTCACTACGGTGTCGAGTTTTTTTCAATGAATAAAATAAGAGGATTAGGTAAGATTAGAAGGGAAATGGTGTTATCAATGTTTTTTTGAATGAAAGGAAAGGAATAACGAAAGATTAGATTACATAAAATACATAATTAGAAATATATATTTGATATTTTTGAAATAAAATAAACATCCAATACATTTTTCTTTGTCTTTTTGTTATATATATATATATATATATATATATATATATATATATATATATATATATATATATATATATATATATATATTGGGCGAACCAAAAAAAGCATGACAACATGCGAACTCATAATCCTCTCATGTTTTTTAAAAACAAAAAACATAAAATTTTCTCCAAATGGTGCATCTAAGCCATATGTAGACTTAAAAAAAGATTCGATAATTTTTTTTTATTTATTTTGGAAATTTATATGTATTCACAATTAGCAGTCCATATGACTATTGATTGTGCTCATCAACAATCTAAATAATTGTTAATTGTCAATAAATCCACATTTTTTAAAAACCCCCCAAAAAAATCGTCAAATCTTTTTTTAGCCTAGATATGTCTTTGACGCATCATTTGAAGAAGATTTGTGTTTTTGGTTTTTAAAAATGATTAACTCATTACGTAAGTTCTCACTAATCTTTTGGTTGTCAAAAGAACGTGACTAACTCTCTCTCTCTCTCTCTATCTCTCTCTCTCTCTCTCCCTCTCTCTCTCTCTCTCTCTATATATATATATATATATATATATATATATATATATATATATATATATATATATATATATATATATATATATGAACAAAGAGTTATTAGTACAAAATATGTAAGTGGGAATTATACAAAATAATAACGACGAACTATTTATCATATAATATATTTCATCACATTATGATAAACTTGATAAGATTTTGTAATGATATGGTTTTTGAAAATTTAATTATAATTTTAGTTAAATTTAATAGTGCATAATATTTGTAAAAACTAAAATAATATTTTTTTCTATGCCAACTAATGACAAAGGAAATACTTCATTCTAAGATTCTTTATTTGTTGTTTTAAAGGAAGTACTTAATTTTTAGATTGTTTATTTGTTGTTTTTATGGTATGAAGTATATCATAATTCTATAAGGTTTAGGTTGTAAATATGGATATCTTTAATTAATTTCTTGCAAATATAAAATTAACGATTACCTAACTTGAAAATTCATCCATATTTATTTTCTTAAAAGTTAAAGGACCGTGTGTGTTAACATTTGCCTATATAATGCCAAGAAATTGAGAACTAGTTATATATAGACATGCAATAACACGTCCTTAACACATTGATTATTTGACTTAATTCCTACTAAATTTAGAATTAAGAGAACATTCCTTGTGATCTTTTTGCTTTTTGTAGCAGGTGAGCAATTCTCTCTGTATATACATAATTCACTTTACTATGGTCTTGATTTTTTTTAATGAATAAAATAAGAGGATTAGGTGAGATTAGAAAGGAAAAATTTGTTCCTAATTTTTTTATAGAATGAAATGAAAGGATTACTAACACCCCCCCCCCCCCCCCCCCTCTCATCCAATTAAAATGTTCCATCTAATTTTGCAATGATTATGAAGGAAAGCACAAAAAATTCTTTCTTTTCATTAACTACAAGCTCGAGAACACGAGGGGTATTTTTCTTGCCTTCCATTCTCATTTTCACTTTCACTTTTTCTAATTTTAAAATTCAAGAAGATGATGCTTATGTTTCTATGAAACAACACTTGTATTGGAATTAGCATGTAAGCAATTTAATGTCCAATCCCAGGTATTTTGGCCAATCTCATAAGGGGTTCTCGATATATATATATATATATATATATATATATATATATATATTATATATAATATATATGTATGAATCAACATCTACCTTTTTTTTTTAAAAAAAAAAAATTGTCTTAGGTTTGAAGGACGTTACTTCGTGTTCAGAAGATTCGATTCCACCAGAATGTAACAGTTTT